GTGCTACCAGGTGTAATGCGGCAAGAGATACCGTCACTAGCTTACACTATAGTGTGGAGGAAGCTCGCAATATTAAAACCAAGTCTTAGGTTTGTGTCAAATTCAACTCTGATTTATTTAGGACCAGGGCGGCTACCCCTGGACTCGTGTGAACCACTCAAACACATGTCTATATCTGATTGGTCAATAAGTGAGTCTGGCTCCTCACTATCAACCAATCAGATGATGACACCTTGGCACACGCTACCCGTGTGCCACTTTACCTACTTATGTAATAACTAAAGAAATATCTACCTACTTAATGTAATTGGAGTTGGGCAGCAGCAACGGTACTGGAAGACGTATCTCACACTGGAGAAGAACAAGCACCTGTAGGTCATGCTCACCTCTACCAGCTTCTACTGCGGCCAATTGGCAAGGCAACCATTGCTCAACGTGACAGCTCGGCTGAGGTCCTCGATGACGTTGTCATTAATGGAAGCCCATTCCATGAAATAATGCAGAAGGTCTGGTCTCTATTTAGCAGTCGAGTGAAGTGCAAAGCTGTTGAAAGGCGGGTGCTGTTGGTAGAAGTTAAGCAGCCACATCATGTGTCACACATGCACTGAACCTCTGTGTATTTTCACTCTCTGGTGGTGTTTATTAAAAGATTTGGGCTAGGTGGCCCAAGCTTGATATAAGCATACAGGCAGTGGTATACAGTGCTAGCGTGCGCGTAACTGTTTCCTCTATGTCCAGTGCGCTCCTGAGTCTGAGTAGATCTGACAATTTAGTTGAATATTGACCAATTGCAGTCAAGGATAGGTTCACATATCGCGATTTTGACGCCACTTTTGCAGATTTGGGCAAAATTGACAGTACTTCCTTTGTGAGCGATTTCATCAAATACCGGTACGTGTACCGTACATGTATCTGTTTACATGATCAATTCGACAAAAAGGTGTCTCCATATCAACTTTGAAAATACCAATTGAGTACCATATAAATTAAGGCAATACCTTGCACCACTGGCGACGAAGCGCTGTTTTGAAGAGGACAAGTGCGATGTCTGGTGAGAAGCGTAAGTGGCGCCTCTCTCTTCCTGCGCTGACTCTGCGTGCCACCGCCTCTCATTGCATTCCCTCTCTGACATCATCTCTACCTGACACTGTGATACTTTGCCTCTGTTTCGACTGGTTGTCGACACCTTCGGCTGGACCATGACCTCAGTTACGAACAAGGAGGTGGCGACCGCGCCTGCCATTGTGGAAAAAGGAGAGGAGGAAGAGCACCCCTTGCAGACGGGATGGTCGCTCTGGTGCGTTCTCTTGCAGCTCTTCGGAGAATGATGTCCGTCCAGACGAACTGACGCGGTTTGTTGGTCAATGCTGTGCGCACAGGTACGACAAGAAGATGCCCAAGAAGATTGACGTGGGGTAAGTTGCTGTTACTGCAATTGACAGGCGTGTTGGTGGTGACTGGTGGTGCTTTTGTGGTATGCTACAGAACTTACCAGTCGAACTTGCAGAAGATTGCCAATTTCAACACGGTGGAGGACTTCTGGCGGTGAGTACGCGTTGAGTTCGGGGTGGCGAAGCTGAGTGACGCTGATGATGCTCTTATTTTGCTTGCCGGTTCCAGCCACTACATCCACGTGAAGCGTCCGTCGCAGCTGAGTCGTGATGTGAACCTTTATCTGTTCCGTGACCAGCCGAACTGCGCGCCGATGTGGGAGGCTTTCCCTCAGGGTGGCTGCTGGATCCTCAAGATCAAGAAGAAAGCCAACGTACTCGGTAAGATGTGGCAGGACCTGGTCTTTGCCGCCATTGGTGAGGCTTTCGAGCAGCTTGACGTCGTGGGTATCGCCATGGCGATCCGCTCTAAGGAGGACATGCTGTCTGTCTGGAACGCCGACAACTCGGACGACAACACCCGCTTTGCTATCGGGTGCGTGTTGGGCTGAGCCTTACGGGCTTTGACTAGTGGGTTTCTAAGCATCTCGTCTTGATATGTTGTAATAGTGAGAAGCTGAAGGAGATCCTCATGCTTGATTCCAACACGCTGGTGGAGTACAAGTTCCACGCAAACTCCATCCGGGACATGTCGACCTTCCGCAACGCGAAGCCCTACGTCTTCGCCGCTGCGACGCCGGCCACGACCAACTAAACTTTAGATTCTGTGCAAAGGTCCTGTCTACATACCGAGCAGCTGTTCGGCTGCAAGCGAGTTACATGAACTGCGCGTCAGGGTCGGCCACGACGTCAACGCAATAGAAAGCGGCGAAACCATACGCGTATATTCGGGTATGACACATGATGCTTTTCTTTTTTTGTATTTGGGTTCATTACTACAATCTACCGTTGGTAATCTACTACTACATGTACTACCCATGCCCCCTACACTGCTAGCAACAGATTCTGATGAATCGTGAGGAACTTCAAAATCACTCCGTTCGTCCAGCCGAAGCCGAACTGCGGGAAGTATTCACCACCAGCGCCCAAGCCGCCGATCTCGGATGCGTTGTACTTCTCGAACATCAAACCTGTCTGTCTCCAAGCTGTCAAACTGGTCTGCGTCCACGTCTGTGACAGCTCACGGGCCAAACTGTACGACTCTGTGGTGTTGACTGCCAGCAAACCTTCCACGACAATGTCTTGCTCCGGCGGCCACGCATTAGGCGAATCCCATTGCTGCCCAGAGAAAATAGTTGTGGTCTGTACACCACCGACCTGGAGTAACCCAGAGCTCTTGAGTGAGGTCACGACATGCTTGAGACGATCAATATCGGACGAGTTGAATGCCTTCGCCCATAGCGGAGTATAGTCGGACACCGAGACAATAGTCGAGTGTGTGTCCGTCTCCAAGTCGTAATCTTTCCAGCTCTTGTGTTTCTCGCTCCAGAGAATAGCGTCGATAGCTTCCAGTCGACGAGCAGCAGCTCGCTCGAAAAACTGAGCTCGAACGTCATTACCCAGGTGTCGATTAAACTCCATCAGATTGCGTTCTACCCGGTACATGATCGCGTTCAGATCCACAGGAACTACCGACGTGGTCACCATCGACTTCATGTCCAATGGATCTCGTAGCCATCGACTACTGAAGTCCCAGCCGCTCTCGGCTGCAGCAATCACATTATTGTAGTACTTGTCCTTGTGTCGCTCTGTGGCCGCAGCGTTTCCATCCTCCATTTGCATCGTGCGATCGAAAAACTCGGCAGCGACCAACACATCCTCACGATACGACTCTGGTCGTGGCTGATTGGCATTGGACGTGTAGCGGTTCAACACGTACGTCGTACTCAAATTCCGCCGAGTTAACTCCACGGCATGGCCACAAGGTCCATGTTGCATCCAGAAATCGTACTCACGTTCTAGAATCGGCAATGCAGCACGTAGATACTCGTCATCGTACTCTGTCTCGTTGCCATCAACCGAGAGACGAGCTACCAGCTTCACCATATCTGAGAGCATTGGAGGTTGAGACCGCGTCAAGTAGTAGATCCGCCCACCATTAGGCACGAAGCCATAGTCAGCAACGTATTCCAGCAAGTGGTTCACGATACCACGAGCTGTGATCGGCATACCACTGACCAAAAGTCCTTGCACGATCCAATACGAATCCCAGTAGTAACTTTCACGGAAGCGTCCACCAGGTACGATCAGTACGTTGGCAGGTTGACTCAAACTTGGTGCGTCCAGTTTTCGGGATCGAAGTAGCGACCCTTTTACATTTAAATTGCGAGTGCGCCCAAGAGTCTGCCAGATTTGATGCAGATCAAACGCCCAGTCTCGGAGCTCTTTGTCTTGGATGTCGGATACCATCGGCGGGTGGTATTGTCCTTGGAAGTCAAACGGCGTGACCGGCAGTAGATCTGTGCCTGGAGGGTCGAAGTGGTCGTCAATAAAGCGACGCAGAAGTTGCTCGTGCGTGTCGTGAGTATGCGGTTGATAGTCGGTCATGGCCAATTCACGACGCTGGAAATCCACGAGGATATCGAAAGCGCTGCTGTTGTCTTTGATGGGCATGTCGACAAAGTATTTGCTGTCTGAAAAGACGTTGGCCATCTGAACAGCATGCAGGAGGGGGCCACGACAGTAGATATCCATCGCTCTCTCCAGTTCCACATCAACACCGAGTGTTATATCGGTATCGGACGGGAGCTCGCTCAATACTGGCGGGTGGCTCTTCATGTTGCGGAGGAACGAGCGCAGTCGGTGCCCTCCACGCATCAACTTCCCACCAGAGCGGTGCAGCGAGAATGACGGCGCCCTCTTGACTCCATGATTGGTTGTCTTGGTCGATAGCAGTCTCAAGCCGGTGCCCACTATGGTCATCACCACGAGGATCTCCATCGCCCAGCGTACATAGCGGAGAACGACAGAGCGACTTTGCGCCCCAGCAGCATCTCCAGGTTTCTTAGCACTCTGTTCATCTTCGCGTTGGTTCTTTGGCAGCAAGAGAGTATTCTCTTCTTTGCTTGTTGCGTCGCGATCGGGCATGTTAGATAGCAACGTGGTGCGTTTCAATGCTTCGACCCCATCGCGTTCAGAGCTCTCGGTCATGCAGCTGTGGCTAGAAGAGAAGGGCAAGGGTGACGGGGGCATCGACTGGCACGAACGACGACGTGCTCGCTTGGACGTGAATTGTAAAATGGTGACTGAGAGACTGACTCACCCAGAGCCCACCGGGAGTGATGACTCTGGGGGCCTCGTTCCTGCGGCCCGTCCCAGTGCAAACTTGAAGTGGAAACGATTCTAAAACTTTATTTAGCTGCGTCAAATACAATCATCAAAAGAGGCTGTAATATTTTATAAAACTAATGTATCTATATCAAATTACAAGGGGCTGAAGTAATTACCGGATTACGTCGCGGCGCACACGCACGAGACGACGATGCTCTGGTGTCGAGCTGTCAAACGCTCGTGGATTGGATGGTCAGCATCAGAACTTGTTTTGCTTTGGAACTCGTCCGTCGATAAAGCCCCAGCTCAGCCACTCGATTGGATCCACCATTGTCCGTCGGGACGCGTAGCTCGGTCTGTACGACGCTCGACTCGGGCTCCCGATTATGGCATGGTCTTTTCAATTATTTCTTATGAAAGCATAAAATTATTTATTTCTTCGATTACCCGGATGTTATTAATAATGTATTTGCTTAAGGAATCATCCGACATAATTTATGAGCAAAACCTCTTTATCATTATGTACCTCTCACAACCAACCGTGACTTTTCACTACTTAAACTCTCTGCTACCAGCACGTCTCTAAGCCAGCTATACGACACAGCTTGCTCACGTCCTCACTTTTAATTTGAACAACTCGAACCAAGCCCCTCGCTAAGCTACTATGGTCCTTGCCACGCTCCTTCGCCACGCCACCTTCACGCCAGCCCAGGTGACTGGGTTCTACT